ATATCAAAGTAATGCTAATGAGGGCAGCGGAATAGTAAATCTGTGTTAAGGGAGGCAGTAAGAGGGGTGTGTGTGTGTGTGTGTGTGTGTGTGTGTGTGTGTGTGTGTATTGCTTCTAAAGATCCTTGAAGCACGGCTTTTAAGCTTAGCTGAGGACTTTGGCCAAGTGAAGTGCCTAAGTCAGCCAAGGACTGACCCCTGACCCAGAGGGGCTTCTGGAAATGCTAAACCAAGGCCACCTTGATGCTGGCATCACATTGTTCGGTCTACTTGAAGCCTGACCGATTGAGCTACCGAAGGTGCCAGGAATCTGTGAGCCCAGGAGGCTCTGCCAACCAAGCAAGCTGCCCCAGTAACTTGAGGATAAGGAGTCCATGTCAGGAGGTGCCTGATGCTGATCCTTTGATTACTAGTAGATGAACTGGTATTCATTGATATCTGGCCTGTGAGGGACTGGACCTTTCAGGCGTCTCTCAAAATCTGCTCCGAGGTTTGCAGCTCTGAGAAGTCTGAAACAATCAGATGCAGGAAGCCCCTGGGCCCCTGCTTCCCCCTTCAGGTCTCTCCTTAGCCAGATCTGAGCTCGTTGAGCTGGATGACGTTAGGTTTTAGTCTCTTTATCATGGTTTCAGTTGTTGACCAAGAAAGAATTCATGAAAAATGTAAGCCAATGGGCATTTATTTGGGCAATGAGAATTGCAACTGTGGGAGACAGTTCAGGTAGAAACCTGATTCTTGTTCAGAGGAGTTATAAAGGCAGAGGAATAACGTGCTGTTCTCTTTCAGATCCTCTAAGCAAAACAGGGATTGAAGCTAGGTTAACTGGGATTGCTTGGGTTAGTATACAGATGAAGGGTTGAAACTTGTCAAATCCATTGGCTCCTTTCAAAGTGAAGAACACCAGTGATTCAGGTCTCATCATGAGGAGAGAGTTAAGTCCAGGCTGAGGGCTTGCAACTGGCAAAAAGTTCATGGTTCCTAGGATGCACATAAATTCCTCCCCCGTGATGGCCTCCTGAGCCTATTTTAGAAGAGACTTTCTTCGCTAGCCTTGCTTACTCCTTTTTGAAATCTCCTTTTACACAGCTTTATTGAAATAAAGCAATAAAATGTGCTGCCACTGGTTTTATTAGCATTCACTCCTGTGATTTGATTTTGTAGTACATACACCATTCATTATTTGTGCTGTGAAAAATGGGCCGTAGGGTTTTTTTTTTTCCCTCCCTGTGACATTTGCTTATCTGTGAAGTTCAACGTGACCTACATATGGTTGATTTTATAACCTCAGAGTTGACATTTTCAGGGGTGGGTCTCTGAAGTTTCATTTGGGGTCCCATTTTGTACCTGTGCTCTAAGATGGTGATGCCCCTGATTCTGGAATGCCAGGAAGAAATGAAACTTGGGCATTTTGTTCCTAAAGACCACAAATGATTGATGTTGATGTGCTTCAGAAAAAAGTGTTAAAGGCTCAGATGTGAAACTTACATAATTAAAGTAAGTGGTTCAACTTTTTCAAAGGCTGGTAGCAGTAGGTGAGCCTACTCGTTGATGCTTGTGCTTTGCTCTTCTCTTGCTAAGCCCATAGGAACCTCAAAGGAGGGGCACCTACCTGGGTGGCTCGGTGGGTTAAGCATCCAACTCTTGATCTCAGCTCAGGTCTTGATCCTCAGGGTCATGAATTCAAGCCCCGCCTTGGGCTCTGTGTTGGGTTCCATACTGGGCATGGAGCCTACTTAAAGAAAGAAAGAAAGAAAGAAAGAAAGAGCCTTGAAAGGGAGAGAGAATGCTTTAAGGATTTGCTGTTGGTATTGTTGCATACAGCTTTTCAGTGCCATATTCATCTTCTCATAGGTGCTCTTAATTAAAATTAGTTGCGGAAGAAGCTAAAACGTGTTATTCCGAAGTCTGATGAAGACTCCTCATCTGTGCCTCCCAGTCTTAGAACTTTTGGAGCAGTAATAACTGTGACATACAGCTCCAAGGCTAGGAATCCTTCATCTCTTTGAGGGTTCCTTCAATCTCTTTTGGAGCTTGATGAAACTAATACGAAGTGAAGATGACATCAGTTGTGTTATTAAAGGCAGTAGTTCGGTTTTGTATCACATGGGAAAGGGGGAGAAAATGAATCTTTAGGGCATGTCTACTGTGTGTCAAGCCCTGTGCTAGACTCAGTTTACCCAGAAAGATGTTGGAATCCATCAGGTTCCTGGTTATCGATAAAACTCTAGCACAGAGTTACTTAATGGGGTGGTATTGGCATTTTGAGCAGTGGGGGACATGTTTTAGGAGGACTGTGCCCTGGCCTGTGAGGCATTTAGCATGTCCCCCCCTCCGCCACCACTCAGTGTCAAAGCATTGTAACTGTCAAATCGCCCCCACTGCCGGTTCAGGTGCTCCCCTACGCCCACCCCCAAGCAGGCCGTCCTGCCTCTGGCACTGGTGAGAGGCTCTCAATTAACGTTGAATACTTTTCAGAGAGCAGATATGTGGATTCCATTTCTGGGCATGCGTCTCTGTTGTAATGGAGTAGAAAATTCTGTAAGTCAATTCTGTGTTTTTATTACCTGAGATTTACATAATATTTTATGCTTGTGAAATAACGAGTATTTATTCTATATTATATAATTGGAATATAGTTCTTTTTATTGATTAAAAACAAGTGTATCCCATATGGTTAACGGATTGATTTTACTCACCTTTTCTCTTAAGCATTATGGTATCACCCATAATTCTCAAGAACAATGTATTACCTGTTTCTTCATTATGTTTTCTTCTTCCCTTTCAACACCTCATGTTTCTAAGACAAGATTTTATGGTGGGAATTTACAGAAATGTTGACTATGACAAATAGCTCAAAACCCACTTCTCTCTGTCAGTTCTATATATAGAACTGTCAAAGAACACACAAACATTTTGTCTTGTGCAAAGTTAAATTTAACCAGTTGGCAGTTTCTTGGTAAACCTAAACTGGTAATAGAGGTATTATCCTTTACTAAATCTTCAGCCATATTATGCTAATCGAGTATAATGATTTCTGTAGACTTTGTGTCAAAAAATCAGTTCCTTTGCACCTCAGAGAAGAATGAGACTGGGGATTCATTTATTCATTACACAGATATTTTTACTGTACTTGGGATATATCAGTGAACAGCACAGATAAGGATCCCTGCTTTCACACTAGCCCAAATGAACACAATAAGTAAATGACAAGTTAGGTTAGAAGGTGGTAAGTGCTATGCAGAAAAATTAGTAAGGAGGGTGGGGGGTGGTGCCAAGGGTTGGGCTGGAGATACAGGTTTTTTTTTTTTTTTTTAAGGATTTATTTTTTTTAAGTGATCTCTACACCTAAGGTGGGGCTCGAACTCACCACCCCGAGATCAAGAGTCGCATGCTCTACCGACAAAGCCAGCCAGCCGCCCCTGGAAATACAGTTTTAATTAATGTAGCTCAGGAAGCTTTGCTGAGAAGATGACTTTTAAGCAAAGACCTGAAGGCAGAAATGAATACTTATTGAGCCCCTGTTGTGCCCCCAGGTACTTTTTTAGGAGCCAGAAGAACCAGGTATAACCTTTATAATCTGCAAAAAATAATTTACATGGCCAAAGGATCAATGTGCACATTGAAGTGACAACTCCAAGCCATGTCGGTGCAATAGGCTTAACAGTGATTTTAAAAAATTCCTTTTTGAAGTAACAGCACCTATTTTGATAAGTAGGATTGCAATGGAAGAGCTTTTTTTTTTTTAAAAGCTGGTAACTACACAGAATGATAGAAAATAGCAGGTATCTGTTTTCAAAGAGAAATAGAAAAATAAGGCTGAGCATGGAATGAGTTTTGTGGCCCAAGTCCAGGGGTCCTTACGGAATTATTACTTCTTCCCACCTGGTGACATCGTGAGGATAACAAGATTCTTCTGGGGAAGACAGGGACAAAGTCATAGTTACGGCCTTAAATTAAGGATGGCTTTCATGTGGGCAGCTGAAAGAACAATGGACCAGAGTCTAGAAACCAAGAGTTGGCTGCAGCCTCTGATGCTGAGCAGCCCTGGGACCTCGGCGGGTTGCTTGGCCTCCTCCCCTTTCCCGGAATGACTGTTTGTTTGCTAGGCATGCACTTCATGTGCACGATCTTGTTTAGAAAGTTGTGGAACACGAGGGAGATCAAACTCACAAGCTAACCAGTCAAGTTCTTTTCTAGTTCTTGACTTCCTCTCTCCTTGATTTGTCAATTCCAAGATGTGAGTAGACTGTGGCTTATCTGCAGCTTATGGATTGAGTCCAGGACACAAAATATGGTTCTTTGGGGCCATCAGAGCTTCAACTGTGGCGCAGGGCTGGCTCTAGAGTTTCTGGGTTTTCTCTTCCTCCTGGCATCTTACATGGTGTTCAAGTCACAGCCGATTTAGCATTTTTAGGGTGGAATGGAATGGTTCATGGCTGGCTTCACTATGATCTCACTCATGCAAATGCCAGCCTGAAATTTCACTTCTGTTTCTTGAGCTTCAAAAAGACTGCCAAGGAGCTAGGCATTGGGGCTGGAGGAAAAGCAGGGAATTAGCCTCGCTCTGAGGCCAAGCCACAGTTCGTCCACTGTCTCCGATAACCTTTCAGAGTGAAAGAACCTTAACAACGGTCCCAAAGACTTCTACCTTTAACATATATATCATTGACTTGCCTTCAGAAGATCAGTAAAATGATACATGCAGATGGCCCTAATGGGCCCTTTTAACTCAGGGGCTTCTAAAATGCTCTTGTGATCAGAGCTGCACCTGTGCGCCTCTGGAGAGATTTACTTAGATGTCACCCAGGCCTGCACTGTCAAAGCGCTAACGTGTACCGAACACCCTCTGAGTGGACTCTCGCGCCACCTGTAGCCTGGGGGTAATGCTTCCTCTCCCACTTTCCTCTCTTGTTGGGCGCCCCGGGTGTCAGAGCTGCTCTGCAGCCTACTGAATGGAGGACTGTCCTCTCTCACCCCCTTGCTGTCTTCCCATTTTGTAGATGATGAACCAGGTGGAAGGACAGCAGAAGAACCTCGTGCACGCCATCGAGTCTCTGCCGGGTTCTGGCCCCCTCACTGCCTTGGACCAGGATCTGCTCCTCCTGAAAGCTACCTCTGCTGCCACCCTCAGCTGCCTCGGGGAGTGCCTCCATTTGCTGCAGCAGAGTGTGCAGCAGGTGGGCCAGCCCAGCCACAAGCCGGGGGCCTCAGGTAAGACCGCCTGGCGGGCGGGTTTGCCCATGAGTATCTGGGGTGCATGTCTGTGTGTCTGTGTGGATCTCCCCCGTGGCCTTCCTCCTTTAAATCCACTATATCCACCTTCCACCTGTCTCTCCATTTATCCCATCTGTTTCTCCATTTGTCCCTCCCTCCTTCTCTACCCAGTTTGGGATATCTTTTTCTTTGACTGATTAGAACTATAACATCCCGTGAAAGATTTAACTGATGTGTTTACATGAGTACTTTGGAACTCCTTTCAGGCTTGCTGGCATCTTGTTCTATATCTCATTCCACTTGTGACTTGGCACTCCGTGCTGTGTTTCTGAGATACATTGCCATGCCATCCATTTTTCTAACTGCGCCTTGATGTGCGTCCACCATGATGCGTCACCACACTGTGGTGAAGGATTCCCACATTGCTTCCCTGCTTGGTCCTGCTCGCATGGCTCAGGGAGCATGCTCCTGCATGCCTCCTCCTGGACCTATGTGAGCCTTTCTCTTCAATACATGCCAGGAGTATTTCTAGCTCTTTATCAAGTAGCTAGAGATAATAATACACTCCCTGAAGATGCCTCAGTCCTTTTGGAGGAGGGCTTAATAAGCAGATTCAAAGATATTAGAGAAGATTAAATTCAGCGATGAAGGTGAACTTAGCTTGAGGTTGGCCATGTCGTATATAATTACAAAGGATTAGAATGAAGAGACCAATAGAAGCCTCCTTGAGCTTTGTTGCCCGGGGTTCACTTATTGAGGAAATGAGACAACTTGGATGATGAAAGCAAAGCTAGCTTATGAGTGACGGTCTGTATTTCATGCTTTTCTCAAGTCCTCTTTGCCCTCTGTTGCACTGAGTTTAAGAGGAATGTTGGTTTTCCAGAGAAGTTTCTTTCTGTCCTACCCACTCTCATTTACTGAGCTCCGATCCTGCCAGAGTTTGGCCTTTGCTACACCTTTTCTGAAACCTTCACAGACTAGATGATATTATGCCCGTCATTCAGATGAGATGCTGAGGTTCATAGTGGGTAAATGACTCGCCCGAGGCCACCCAGCCAAGTAGCCGAGCTGAGGCCAGAGATGGGTGCTTCCTGGTGTGGCAGACGCCTTCCTCTGCCTGGGGTTCCTTGTTAATCCAGAACAGACCACCAGTCGGCTCTGGGGACCCTTCCCGGGGGCCAGTGACGCTGTCTTGCTCACATCACAACTGTCTCACTGGCAGGTATTTATTTTCTTTACTTTTCTCCTTATTTTAAGAATTTCAGACTTCCAGAAGAGTTACAAGAATACTATGAAAAATTCTCGTATCTCCATCTCCAAGTTCCTCCAGTGGTAACATTTTATGACATTTGCTTCATCATCTCCCTTCTCTCTCTCTCTCTCTCTGTCTCTCTAAGCATATTATAACTTTCTTTTTTTTTTTTTTAAAGATTTTATTTATTTATTTGAGACAGAGAGAATGAGAGACAGAGAGCATGAGAGGGAGGAGGGTCAGAGGGAGAAGCAAACTCCCTGCTGAGCAGGGAGCCCGATGCGGGACTCAATCCCGGGACTCCAGGATCATGACCTGAGCCGAAGGCAGTCGCTTAACCAACTGAGCCACTCAGGTGCCCGCATATTATAACTTTCTAACCACTTCAGAGTAAATTGCAGACATGCTATATCTTAACTCTTATATGCTTCAGTATGTATTTCCTTAAAAAGAAAAAGGACACTATATATAATGTCCTTTATATAATGTCTCCTATATAATGACTGCCCAGTCATCAAAATCAGTAAATGAACATGAGTACAATCCTATTCCCTAATCTGTAGACCTCACTAAATTTTGCCAATTACTCTCTTAATGTCCTTCATAACAAAAGAAAAAGGTTTTGGTGCAGGATCCAGCCTAGGGGATGTGTGCGTGTGTATTCAGGCACGAAATGAAGGTGCCCAAACCTGCTTTTCTATCTTTCCTCTTCCTTCTCAGCTTGAAAAATGAAACTCTAATGTTGCAGCCCCCCATGGGACTCCTTGATATTTTCAGATCTGGACTGAGTCTCAATGACCCCATTGGGGCTTGAGCACAGATTCTGAGTTACACTGGGGAGCTGTTCAAGGCGTCCGTGATCTCTCCCACGGAATATCGTAACTTACAGCCTCTGCAACCTAATGGGTGCATTCAGGAATGTTTCACTGGTAAATATACACTTGGACCATTTTGTTATTCCTAAAATGACTCCCTTACATCTTTCTGCAGGGCTGGTTTCTAGCAGCTTTCTAATTTTTTCCCTGATTCTCATTGGGAAAAAAATGGTGTTTTTAAGAGCTTGGAAGGACAAAACTCAAGGTAGAATTTCAGATGTGATGACAGGTTGAAATGGAAGTTATCTGGGAGGACCAAGCAATATCCCTGAAACTGTGTGTACAGCGTTACCTCCTGTATTTCCCCTGCCCCTTCCTACACCCCTGCCCCATTTGACTGTCCTTCCTCCCTTGCTTTTAGTCACTTTTGTTGTTGTTTTTATACTATATTTACTATATTCAAATTAAAAACCTATTCATCCAGTGACAGCAAACTTATGAATCACTATTGTTTGCCACTTCTTTGGTCATTTTTATTTTTCACGGAAGTATAGTTAACCTGTAATAAATTAGTTTCAGGGGTCCAACATAGTGATTCAGCAATTATATATATATTACGAAATGCTCACCACAGTAAGTGTATTATAATATTATTTTTAAAAAAGATTTACTTATTTATTTGAGAAAGAGCAACAGAGAGCACGAGCAGGAGAGGCAGAGGGAAAGAGAGAGAGAATCTCAAGCAGACGCTGTGCTCAGTGCTGAGCTCGATGCAGGGCTTGATCTCATAACCCTGAGATCATGACCTGAGCCAAAACCAAGAGTTGGAAGCTTAACTGACTGCCCCTAAGTGTATTATAATATTATTGACTGTATTCCCTGGGCTATACTTTTCATCCCTGTGACTTATTTATTTATTTATTTTTGTGACTTATTTATTTTATAACTGGAAGTTTGTACCTCTTCATCCCCTTTACCTACTTCACCCACTCCCCATCCCCTCCCCTCCTTTTAACCATTTTTATCAAGGAACTTGGCTGAAGGTTGGAGGATAGAAGGTGCTTGAAGCATCACAAAGGTTATTTTGTTTTCTTGTCTTCTTTTAACTTTTAACCCTCCTAAAAAATTTCATATAACAGCCCCTTAAGTTTTAAAACATTGTGCAGGTTCTTTTCAATCTCTGGCACACATTGGGGGAAGCAATTGAATTACTTCCTGCATCCAAAACATCATACTTGCCTGCAGTTAAAATGGAATTCCGGAATCTCAAGCTAATGGAAGAAGAAAATGTGGCAACCGGGGGAGTGTCAGCACAAAATTTCTTTGTTTGGAATCTCAGGGCTCTTGAACTTGACAATAGTTACAGCAGCCTGACTCCCATGGATAAAAGCATAATGCTTGTATCTAAGGAGTGCCATCCTGGTTTGATGGAAATCAAAATCTCATTACAGCGAAACTCCATCAGGGCTTCCTTTAAATGTTCGATGGGCAGGGAGGCACAGATTGCTTACAGCATACTAAATATCCACACGCATTGTTCTTGATTCTGGCTTCTTTGCTTTCTGACCCTCCCACTGTTGTATTTCTTCCTAAAGAAATTTTCTGAATCAGAAATTAATTTGTGGACTTGTAGCATTTCATCTTCCATAGCATTTCATTGTATCTTCTGGGGAACCAGTTGGCTTTGGAGCCTTTGTAAATGTTGCTCCTTAACGCTCATTTCATCTCAAGCACACGGCAACTGACCTGAAATCCAAAAATGCTTCAGTATTCGTCTGCCCACCATTTACGCGTTTTGGGCTCCTAGACCTGTCTCTGATCTTATCTCTAAGATACAGTAGCCTGAAATGTTTCATTTAATTTCCATTTATGGAGAAGTTTGTAATTCATATTAATCAAGTAACTTGCCCTTTAGGCCACAGCTCCTGTAGTTCTGTTCCTGGGAACTACTAAATATACTTGAATAGCTTGATGGAGGCAAATGATGGATGGGGGCCGGTAGGCAGGCATCCGTTCTCCTCAGTCTAGATGTGTGCCTCCGTCTCTACTTGGAAAGGTGGGTAGGACTTCACTCACAGTTAGAAAAAGCTGAGAGCTGCTTGAGGGTCTGGGCTTTGGGTGGGTTGCCAGTGTGGGAGAGAAACTAGACCTTTGGAGTGGTTTGGAGTGCAGAGTACTCTGTTGGCATTGCTTCTGGTTAATTCCTTGCTTGCAGGTCTTGATCTGGGGAGCATGGTTCAGGAGTCAGAGCAGACACCTGTAACCAGACAAATACACTCTAGTGCCAGGTAAGAGCTGGATGCTGACAGTGTGGTCAGTGCAAGGCATGTTGGGAAAAATGCTGAAGTCAGAACTGCCGGAGCAAGTGACAGCAGGGTGTTGGGGAATTGCAGCAGGTGACCCACGTGCCCTTGGACATAAATCAGGACAAGAGATCAAGAGATGTGTCATCGAAGAGGGGAGAACCAGAGCAGAGTTTAATGTGCTTTTCTTAACTTGTCCTTCCAATAACTTTTTCATTCTCTTATAAGGTTTGTGGGGCTTGTCAGTTAGAAGAAGCCAGTTGCGTTGGCCTTTCCGTTTGGGGGTTGGCAAAAAGGGTGAATAAGTGAGCCTCTCATAAGGCCTTTGTGGCCTCTCTGGCTGGGTGGCCTTCTTCCTTCTGCTGTGCTTCTCTTTTTTCCAGAGATGTCTTCAGACTGCCAGTGTTCCTCTCTTTCCACTTTGTTGTCTCTGTCTCTTACACCTTCTTTCTGGACACCTTCCGCTTCTGGTGAGGATGTGCCCCACACGAGTCACCTTCCCTCATTTTGTGGTTAAAAGCCAAGATGGAAACGTGATGATTCCTCCAGTAAATAGCATATTGGAGAAAAAAAAGAAAAACTAGCATTGTAGAATATTTCAGGTGGGTGGATTTTTTTGTTGTTGGA